TTATTTCTTGAGTGGCCTCCAGAAAGATCAAACAGACAAAAAGAAAAAAAAACTATTTTTCTGTGACCTATAAAGAAGGAAATAAAGATACTTAACACCTCTTCAACAGCATGAGTCAATGTCATATAAAATTAGAAAAACAGAAGCTTCAAGGAATAGGAAACAAATAATTTAATTCTACAAAAAAGAAGGGGGGATGTCTCTGAACAGAGGCTGTGAAACTCAAGTTATTTTAAGAATACATGCTTTCATAACCCATAAAAACACAAATACAAAACCGTGTTGAATCAGAAATCAAGTTAAGAATTTTGATGGAGTTTCTGTGTCCTTCAAATAACATCTAATAATTATTATGCTAAGCTTTCCACAATATAATCTAATTTTCTGAAAACAACATTATAAACAGGGTTCATTTGGTATAAATTTCTGATAACTCCGTGAACGAGCATGAATATAGATATTATAGGGAAAATATACAGTTTAAAAATACTTTATAAAAGTGTGTCATGTTATCAGTTTCTGCCAGGCAAAACCCCCTGAAAAATTATTATACCTACAAGCTAGTTTGTATTTTATTCGTATGAGGGGAAAAAGTAAACAAATAAGTCATTAAAATTCTTACTGAACAATGTAATTACTGTAATCTGTGAAAACCAACTGAATAGTAATGATAAATATGTTCCTTATAAAGTGCAAAAAAGAAAAGTTATGGAACAAAGCTTTTGTTTGTGTCTCACAGGGGTATTCAGCCTCCAGTACTTGAGTCAGCAGTTTCAAAAGAACACAAGAAAATAGAAGAAATATAGACTTTTTTTTTCCCCTTTTTTCTGGTGGTGGCAGTGTTTAAATTTTATAAAATCAGTAATATTTTTGCAGATCTGCTTAGAGAAACGAGGAAAGCCTCCTGAATTATGTTGTTTATTCATTTGGCTTAGAAAAAGTGCTAGATATTCAGTTTGAAGCAGTGCCTTTAAGCTTGTTTTCCCATAGCTAAGATAACAAATAATAGAATCAGTCAATAATTTTATTCCCTTTTGTTTTCTTGTGGGTATTTTGCATACTAGCTCCATTACTTTAATGTAATGTAATTTGCTGTGGTTCAAATGATTAATTACTATTACTGTAAGTTCTGCTAGATCAAGCTAATGAACATTCAGCACAGTTTCCTGTCACTTCTCATCCCAGCTCAGTCCCCTCTTCCCCACATAGAACACCCTTCCAGTAAAAAGGAAAGCTCACTGAGTAAAACCTCAGGCCTGGTTATGTTTGTTAACCACCACATTCAAATTTTGCTAAACCCTCGTAAATAACCCACTCTCAAAAACATCTAAATGCTGAAAGACACTTGGGATTCTCAGATGCTTACACACCCACATTTCCCATATAAATTTTCACTGTGGCAAGCAGATATTCCTTTATTTACCGTTTCACGTGACGATTTATATTATTTAGCACAAGCCAGACCGGCAGCGTAACTCTAAACGAAGAAAACGTTTTAAAAATCATTTAATATCATTTTAAAAGGTATTTGAGCCCTCTCTTTTGGCCTCTGTTTGGCTGTGCTAGGCCTGTGAATGACAGCTTCCCTGCTTGAAGCACACAGAAAGCACAGCCTTCCTCATTCACTGTCAGCTCTATGGCCTTTTCACACGTTCCCTCCACAGCAGTGTTTGTCCCCAAACACTGGGACCCTGCACAATGGCATTCCTCCTCCAACACCCCCACCAACAGCACCACTACCGATGGGGAATTCTAATGAGCTGGACATCCCCCATCTCTCAAAGTGTTAACTGCATCCCCAGCTATCACATATTCTGCTATTTCCATTGTTACATGTCACAGCTCACTTGCATTTATTCAGGCAAGGCTTCTTTATTTTTTTTCCTTTTTTTTTTTTTTAGTAAAAAAATATTATAGAGGCTTGCCAATTAAAAAAATATTACATGCTTTCCTCCAACTGCATACATTATATAAAAAATTAATTGATTTTAACCCCCAGATATATTTGGGGATCCCAGGAATTCCAAGAGATGCCTACGCAGCTTGTTTAAAACAGCAAGGCAAAAGACTGACCTTTGAAATATTAATAGTAAATTATTGAAATATTTTGAAATATTAATAGTAAAAAGTAAAGAGTAAAAAGTATTTATAGTAAAATAATTCTAACAAAACTGGTATTTAATATTTTTAATTTTTTTTTTACTAAAAAGCTGCATTTTACAGTCCCAGAATTCATGGCATTAAAATGTCAACATAAGCTTTGCTGAGATTTTAGGAAAGCTGACAACTCATTATATACATATGCAGTTAAAATTAGAAAGTGAAAGATAGAGGACTTTTCTGATATAGTGTTTTTTTACATATTTTTTTCCTTTCTCATTAATTTAAGTTCCCAAGGCTCAGGTATTCTCTCTGTTTTACCTGGTTTACTTTCCCTATATTCATTTTTAGGAGCACTTTGAAGAATCCTTCCTGTCCCCTGAGAAAGGGGCAGGAGCTCCTCACCGTGCCCTTCTCTGGGGCAAGAATCAAGTGATATAAAGACAAGTCTTTTTTAATTCAATACATGCATTTTCAACTCAAATCCAGATGGATTTAACAGAAGTACATGTATTAGCATGTTATTATAGAATTATGTGTATTAGCATATTATTAGTTGAGTGTGCCACTTGATTTCAGCAAAGTGCCTTAGCAGAGTGATGCTGACTCAAAGAATGCAACTTCTTTAAAATTTGCTTTCCCCTTCGATTTGCATGAAAAGACGAAGTAAATACAAATAATTCAGGTGTCAAAATAGCAGGGAGACAAATGGAAATCGAGCAAATTTATTTAATGCTGTCAAGCAATGGCTGGATGTTATATTGGTGTGAATTCTGTGTGCAGTCAGCACTGTCAGGCCTCAGCACAACAGGACAAAGTGAGAATATTTCCCTTGAATGTCTTGCTTCGTTATTAATGTGCCTCTAACCTTGTATTTCTAGCACATCACAACGTGCTTGCTTCAAAATAAACTTGGTTCAGATACTCAGGCAAGAAGGTCGACATAAACAAAACACAGTGAGAAGAATTGTTCTATACTTAAAGCTAAAATAACCCTCAGTTCCTATAATGACTTCATTTTTGTTCAGTACTAACACAACTTCAGTTAGAAAATGGCTGGAAAAATGAACAGACAGACACTTTACACTGAATTATATGTTGTATCTTATCTTTAAAGTAATATAACTCAAAATAACACAAGATTTTGGCACATTAACCGCACAAAACATTTAACATCCTTGTGCTGTAAAATTTTCATTTAGGCGCTTAATTCAGTTTGAAATGTTTATTAAAATATTTCAATCGTAACTTTTTTTGTGGACTGTCATAGCTCTACTGACATTTATCCTCCTGGATAATTAAATTTGGATAAAATAATTTGGACTCCTAAAAGTTCCAAATGTCCAAGCTGATTATACGAGCATATATCTATATGCAAGGCTTTCGTTATAAGGAATCATTTGTCTTCAGAAGAGATTTCAAATCTGCTAAAACTGTTCTATTTTTCTTGTCATTTACAATTTCCTGCTGAACACTGATGGATAATCACCAGAGGAATGATTAGCATGAGCTAATTTACTGAAATGTGTTTATATGTTCTTTACAGAGTAAAAAGTAGACAATAAATGACTTTCATGTGCATTTCTCTTTAGAAACTCCATTGTCTGTTTTGTTCAACTAATTGCCCTTATACTTGCTAAATACTTGTATGAATTACATATATTTGTATTTATTGAAGATTTACTATTACATTTTAAGGTAAAAGTAATAGATTAAGGTTAAAGTAATAGATTTCAGTTCTGTGGCTTTTGTGACAGGCAACATCATCTTAAAAGGGTAGAATTATCAACAAAATGTGTAAAGGTATTTGTCACTTTTTAATATATCACTACACTGCCTCAGAAACATTCTGAAACAAGCTTTTTTTTTTTTTGCTTTTTTTTTTTTGCTTTTTCTTTTCTGCTTGTTTCTCCTTGACACTCTCTCTCATTTTTGTTTTTGTTTTGTTTGATTTCTTCTTGCTGGCCACTGTTAATTCTGGAAAGGAGCAGCCTCTCCCAGTTCTCATTTTTCTTTATGGGTCTGACAGCAGGAGGTGCTGTCTAAACAGAGTGGCCCTGCCTCCTCCTCCTCCTCCTCCTCCTCCTCTCCTCCCCCTTCCTCCCCAGCCTGGGAGCTGCTCTCTGCTTCACTCATCAACTCTGGGGCCAGCAGCACTTTTCAATTCAGCCTCCTCCCTGCCCCTTTAATTTCTAGGTAATACTTCAAAACCTGTGTCTCTCCTATTTTCATGAAGTACTCACCTTAAAAATATATACATTTCTAAACATAGAAATGAAATGATGTTGCTATGCTCAGCGAGATCAGTTTTCTCACTTACATTTCCTAAAATTCAAGTAATAAAAAAGATACCACCTCATTGCTCCCAAACTGTCAAACAGGATATTGAGCATCTGTTTTCCACTGCTTTTTCAAATTGAAAATGCACGTTTGTTCGACTGCACACGTATAGAAATTAAAATAATGATGTTTTTAAAATACGATACATTTATTTAACTTTTCACTCGGCCACGCCAACTGTACTTAGAATCGATTTATTTATTTACTCATAATATGCTTCAACTAAACCATTATTTAAGTTAGCTCTGTAGGAAGACCTATGAGACAATTACAAGCTGCCTGTGCAGAAGAGCAGTGAGAACTGATGGCTTTAGAGAATTTCCACACAAGGAACATCCCGGCTCGGCAGCAACGCCACACATGACATCCCCCACCAGCAGAGACTCAGTTAACTCCTCTGTGGCGGGCTCTGCACTTACAGGACAAACATTTCCTTCTCCTAACAGCTTCTCCAGGACATGCCACGCTTCTTTGTGACACAAAGAACGTTGGTTTTACACAATCAGTACGTTTGAAAATTAAAACAGACAAGCAGACTTTTAAAGAGTGGGACAACTCACCTGTTTGCAGCCCTTTGCAGGCTTTAATCGTTGGTGCAGGGCCAAGAGAACTCCTTGGATGTAAATCTTTGCTCCTGAGAGGCTGAAACCTTCTCTCTTAGAGACCCAAACAGGTCCACACAAAGGTCTGATGACATTTTGCAGGCATCTGTCAAGCAGAGGAGCTATGCAAAGAAAAGAAGAAAAAGGGGAAAAAAAAACCCAAACCAAAACCCCACCAAACAACCAAAAGAAAATGCATTCTTTTGACCCGACCGAAATACACAGCCTCTAACACAGCCTCGGCATCAGAACTAACTCTTAATGTCTATTATTTATATCTGACCTGGGTTAAGTCAAAGCAACTCCTGCATTTCTAGTGGCCACCATGAAGGCTGTATTTATAGGGAGACTCCCCTGTGGAAGGCTCGGAAGCGCCGTGAGCACACCTGAGTAGCTCTGAAGTGCGCCTAACTAGCGGCACGGCCGCCGTGGTGTGCGCTGATTGCCTTATCTTCTCATTTATCACAGATGAGTTGGAACCAACCTTGCTGAAACCCACTTGCATTGTCCTGATAAAATTGCAAGATCTGTGGTTTGGGGTTTTTTTTTTTCTGTTTGCCGTTAAGGGGCTGCCACACACCCACGACATTGTAAAGGGTAACGCTTGTAAAACAGAATAAACGCTCTCGTAAGCGGTTTTAGCGTAACCTTCTCATTGCCACCGCCTAAAAAAGAGACTTCTGACAAATAAAACTGCTCAGTGGAGCTGGTTAATAACGAGGAAGGTCAAATGAAAAGAGAAATAAAATTGATTCGTGGCAATGCTCTCAACAAGGTCTTTTCCTTGCTGCTCTTAGATTTCAAATCGCTGCGAAGGTTGGAAGGATTCTCTCGGAGGGGCCTAATGGAAATAAAGGAATAAGGATAAATAATAAATATGGAATTATTAGTTTGGCTTTGGGCATCACAAAGGTGCACGAGCTCTGCACTCATTTCTGGGTAAAATCCGGGGGCCTTTCTTCTACAACAAAATAAAATAACATTGAGGGAAGGGAAGGGAAGGGAAGGGAAGGGAAGGGAAGGGAAGGGAAGGGAAGGGAAGGGAAGGACCAAAATCTGGCTTTACAAGCAATATGAAATAAAATAAAATTAAATAAATATGTATAAAATGCAAATAAAATTATATACATGATTTCCCCACCTAGTCAATCTGTGGTCATAGATTCACATTACATCAGTATAAATGGTGGATTTCCTAGGTACATAAAGACTGACAAAGTGCTGATTTTGTCAGAGGAAATACCAAAGGAGGTGAATTACTCTTTCCATATTTTATTAAAATAGGAGATATGCTCCATTTGGGTATAGCAAATATTAAGCCTCCATAGCTGTTCACTCAGCTGTGAGAACAGGGTCTGAATCAAGGCCTCAGTTATAAAACTTTCATATGCAACTTCCTTAATAACTGGAGACTTTTAGACAGGCAAAGAAGGAGCATCTCATATGGTTAAGTCTATCTTCAAAGATAAATAAATAGGTAACCATGCAAAAGACTGCATTTTGCCTCTGCTAAAGTCAGTGTATTTTAGGAATTATTTAAGCACATGTTTAAGCAAAACTGTGTATATTTTTTTGAAAGGCATTATTACTTTTTAAAAAATCATGTTAAAGTTCAGGTCTTCTGACCTCCACAATTTCATGATAAAATTTGATCAGCTAGTCAGTAATTTTATGTATTCTCACATAAGCACTCCTGAGAGCTTCCATACAGTACACTTCTCTTTCATCTAAAAGGAGACCAGACTTCACAAAATAAGACAGAGGATTCACTGAGCAAGTTAATATGCATATTAATTTACTTTTATGATTATCCTAATGATAATCCTAATCTCTTATGATTACTCTAAAGAGTAAACCTGCTCTTATGAAGTATCCTAAATACTGCAAGATATTTTGAAAATATTTCATAAAGCAAAGACCCCAAACCTGAACACATAGAACAGACCATTAAATATTTGCTTTTAAAACCTGATTTCTCAAGATACGGCCATGCAATTGAACATGAGCAAAAATTATCTCAAGTTGAAAAGAATTGAGTTAATAGTTTTCCAGACTATTCTAATAATGAACTTCTTATCATGGGAGTGAGACATTAAATTAAGTAGATTAGGTGAGATAATGAATGAGATTTGACCAAGAACACTGGTAGGGTTGAATTTACTTCAGTGAGCAGAACCAGAATTAAATCAAAGTTTCATGTTGTGTGATATTGTGTGATGAGGAGTGGTCATGGTCTTACTTAGTTCAAACAAAATAAAAGGATGAAAATCTGATCCCAGCGATGTCTTTGGAAGGTTTACAAATAACTGAAGTGAATATGTGATTTTTATTCAGTGCTTTTTAACTTAGTTACCTAAGTTAAAAACTTAGTAACTAAACTTCACAGGAAATGAAGATCAAGAAAAATAATGCTGATTATCAGAGTGTGTGAGTAGACTGAAAAATAGCTGTGAAGAAATGTTTGTACACTGGCATTGAAAGTTATATCTGAAACAGAAATTATAATGCTTACAATAATTTAGTTTTACCACAGATTTTTTTTTACCACAAATAATTATCAGTATAATGCATCAGTGTTGATCCACTTTCTCTGAAGGTAGTGACCTTCAGGACCAGAGAGGGAGAGTTCCAACACCTGCTGGGGTAGCTTGGAATTTAAAGATTCAAAGATTCCTCTTTCAGACACACCTAGCACCCAAATTACTCAGCAACACTGAGAATCAAACCCAACTAATTTTCTATAAGCAATAACCATTTCCATAAATATCAGCTGACTTTATCCATAATGTTATTTACTTCATTACACACTCAACCTTATTGTTTCCAGATTTACAGTCTCAAAGTCCTTGTATTCTTTCTTTTTTTTTTTTTTTCCCCTCCTCCTTTTGACCTCCTTTTTAATAATCAAAATATCAATGGTATCAAGTTATTAAGCATTCATTTAAGTACAAAAAATATGTGGCTAGAAAGTTGAAGGAATAAAGGTAGAACACCAGAGCAGTCACTTCAGAGGAGGATACTTTCAGTGAAATATTCTATAACTTTATTCTATGTGGTGATTCCAGAAGATACTCAAGATAAAAAGCCCTTGAGATTAAAAAAAAAATTTAAAAATCACAGTTGTTTAAAAATTGTCACTAGTTTAGGAAATTTATGATGTTCTTGGTTGGAACTGATGTAGGTATGCAAGAATAGTTTCCAATGAACAGCTACCTACTTCCAGACTCACATTTTGGTGACTTACCTAAAACAAGGAAGGTATTAGTCTGAACCTTTTAAAAACTGAAAGAGCATCAGCAATGACTTCACCAAATCTCTCCCAACTCCACAGGAGTGCTTTGGTACTCTGGTTTTACACAACACAATCTACAAAGCAAGGTGAAAAGAGGAAATTTCCAAAAGATTTACAGATTTATTGTGAAGTGTTACGCAGTCCATTCCAGCTGATCAAACATTACAAACCCTGAGTTATGAGGCAGGAGTAGGAAGGACAATAAAAGTGTTGCCCACAGCAAAAGAAGGTAAATCTCACCCTTGCAGGAAAGTGCATGGGCTGACTTTCAGGAACAACTCATCCTGATGTGTTTTCAGGAGGTTAGAGAGCAAAGGAAGGTAGTCTTAAGCTATGGAAAACACTTTAAATTATAGGCAATTTTCTTTAGAACTTTTATGTAGAATTTAAGATACTGCATTAGAACCAAACTGCTTTTTTTTTTTTTTTTTAATTTCTCCCATTGCAGCAGTCTCATCTGCTAGAGAGTCAGTGATGGATAAAAGGAGAGTACCCAAGGAACTTTGCTCCTCAGCTAAGCTGAACAGTGTAAATACACCTTTATTGTTTTTATTCTCCCCCTTATTGATTTTTTGACTTCAAATCACATGACAAACATCGAATTTCCTTGAAGAAAATAATTATTTTACAGTGTAATTTTACACTCTTGTGAAGAAAAGAGATGTGAAATTCTCCCTAAAACAAAACCCAGGGATTTTAAATTGATGGAGAAAATAGCATGATGCCACTGTGGCAAATGGAAGAGAAAAAACTGGATTTGTGTTTTACTTTGTCTTGTCTTTAAACTTGCTGAAAATTATGAGTGTAGTGTTTCTCAAATTGAGTGACAGAAAGGATGAAATCCACTAAGATAGCCACAAAAAGTAAGCAGGATATTTGTAAAGGAATGGGAAAATCACCCTCTGGCAATTTGCAATCAACACCAGTGGACTGCAAAAAACTGAAAAACAAATTCCCTAAAATTCAGTTTCTTAACTTTTTTCTTATTCTAGACTTATGACCTTATTGGATATTCTAGACTTATGACCTTATTGGAACACAGACATCCTTTTTTATTATATCATTTATTTTAATCATTATTTGTGATATTATGCAGAGTTCTTTTCTCCATCAATTTCTCTTAGCAAATAAGGTACCAAATGGCAAATATATATATATATATTTTAAGCAAATAACAGCATCAGAACAACCAGAAATAAATCATCAGCATTTTTTTCCATTAGGGGAAACAAAGGTATTTCAATATGACCAAAATATTAGAAATTCCTTATATACTTTCTAGTGACAAGGCTTTTTTCCTGAAGATGCTTGGGTACTTGTGCCCTGTGCACTGTATATATATATATTTAGATTGATATCTATATCTAATCTATATCTATATCTAATCTATATGTCTATATATCACTGAGGGCATAAGATTGAGTTAGTGCTCACAGTGCTCCACATTTTTAATTTTTAACAACCATGATGCAGTTCCTTGTCCAGGGCAACTGGCATACACTGTCCAAAATCATAATTTTTGTAGAAATTGTAGATTCAGGGAGACTGATTGAGGGGGAACATGCATTTTCTTCTGTTGCTTAAATTACATCAGGGTGTTTTTACTCAAACAAGAACTAAACTAACAGCTGCTGTGTACTTTTGTTTATATGCTATACGTCAAATCCTATTGTCCCCAAGGTACTTATGAGAGATGCTTTAGCAGTCATTTTCTTAAATACTGATGCCTATCCGAATTTGGATTTTTCCACCATTGAACAGAATGACAAGAACACGATTGCTGTACTTAAAGCAATCTTTCACAGCTGCTTCGCTTTTCCAGTGATCCCATTAAATTGACGGCATATGCCTGTGGGGTCTGCAGCGTTACAATTCTGCTGAACAAGATGTTGATTGCAAACTACAAATTTGTACAACACAACTTGGTGGTTTTGCTTTTGGTTTTGGTTTTTTGGGGTTTTTTTTTTGGGTGGGAACCACTCCTGGTCATCCTTCAGTTTCTTTTTTACCTCAGCAAAATCTAATTTCAAACCTTCTCGGTGGCTGCGCCCTTTACTGAACACCTGGTTGTGTTAATTGTTTAGAAGTGCAAACTCTAACCCTCGGTGGTTAGCAGGCATGAAAACCTATGAGGTCTCCTCAGTTCCTAAAATGAGCATGAGTCATGTCTTTCTTGAACTGAAGGAAGTAGCTGTGCATTAAATATGCTGGCACATCTTCTGCTCGAGCAAGTGGACCGAAATGGTGTGAATTGTTAATGCCTTGCTGCTTTGGTTCACGGCTTGTGATTGATCATTTGTAACTATATCTACTCCTTGTTCCATGAAATCAAGTATGGAGTAATGGGTTCATCAGATTTTTGGGTTAAATTGAGAGTGAAGAGGTACTGTGTGTGGAAATAAGAGTTGCCATGTTCGGGGCTGGCCTTGTAACAGCATGGAATCTAAAGGCGATATTCAAAACCACTTCACTCATCATACGCTTACTGATTCTGAATAGGGTCCATTTGCAGGGGACATTTGGTAGTTTTCCAACACACTTTATGCCTCTTTCTTCACTTCTACCACCCTGCACATCTTTTTTTTTCTTCTTCTTTTTTTTTTTTTTTTTTTTTTTAACTAGAATAGCTTATAACAGGACAGAATAGAAAATTAATAGATTTAAGTAACTCGGCTTGGACTGAAATGACTGTTCTGCTCATTAATGATGCTACCTAAATTTTGTCATTTGCAGGACACAGGCTAAAAGAACTCAGCAAAGTTTTACTCACTCAGGAAGAATTACAATCCTGTATTTTGTAGAAACTTATTTTCCCAGGCAGAAAAAGAGAACTGCACAGGCTTTATTTCTAACTCCTCAATCCTTTCACGTGCAGGAATGACACACAATTCCAGACATTACAACACAGCTGGTGACTTTGCAAACAGCAGTGCGTGGGGCCACAGCAAATCCAAGCCAACAGCAACCAGAAGTGACAACTTGTGATGGCCTGCAGGAGAGGAATCACGTACAGCATCTCCACAGAACCAGAAAGGTAATGGATGTCAAACTTGCTGCGATGCTCACACGGCTCTGATCGTGCAGCAGAAGCCTCCCTACGCTCACTGTGCTGCCTCAGATCCTCTAGGTAAATTCCACCAGCTCAGAATAAAACACAGCAACGTGCTTCCCTGTTTTAAAACGATCTCTAGAAGTGATTTAATTCCATGTGAATGTTCAGCTAGGAATGAATGAATGGCTCTGGTCATGTGAAATTTATATCTAGGCTTTCCATCTGCTCTACAATTCAGAGACAAAACTGAAACGTGGACAAACTGAAGACCAAAAGAGAAATACAGAGTAACAACAGGCTACTTTTGCTCCTCATTTAGGAGTAAAGAGAGAAATGGAAGGGAATTCAATGAAAGTGCAGCGGAAAGGAGTGCACTGCATGTATATTTGTGACGATTATAACTTTATTAAGACAGAGAGATACAGCAGTTTAGGTTCATTTCATCCCATCTGGGCCACACAAGATTCTCTATCTCTCTTCTTTGTTTAATATTTATCTTGATGAATGCAAGCCCAGCACAAACCTATAGCAATCTAATCCATGCACAAGTTCTGTCATTAAGAGTTTTGGGGAAGCTTCAACCCATGAAATGTTGGAAAAGCAGAGGAATCCATCACAAATGAAGAAGCTGCATTTTTTTAACTCATTTTGAAAATGTCCCATCTTTTTCCCTCTTTTCTCCTTCTGCCTTTATGTGAGCACCTTGCTGAGGTCAAGTTTCTATTTCCAAGTATTAAATCAGGCACTTCTTTTAAGTATTTGGACTTATGATGACTTTTTTGGCTCATAATTGTTATTGGGAAGCTTTCCCACGTTTATGCAAGGAGCTGTGCCACAACTGGAAGATGCTTATCAAGTCTAGAAAGTCTTTTATTAAAAACTTATAATTTTCCTGGGTATTTCCATTTTTAAATACTGACCCACCTCCAGATGCTCATCTCTGTTTTCAAAACATTCAGTGCTGAATCATGCACAGAAATCTGTACAGAAGCAATTGCAGCAGCCAGGCAGTGAGAGGCCAAGAAGGCTTCCTCAGCCCCTCTATGCTTAGAATTCCTGAAAACAGATAATTCTGCTATAGCTTACTGCAGCTCACCTGTTGACTCCACAGGGTCACAGAATGGCTGAGGTTGGGAGGGATTTCCAGAGATTTTTCCAGTCTGAATCCCTGCTCCAAGAAGGGTCAAGCAAGACCATTGGTCAGGGTTTTTTGCAGTGTATTTTGAATGTCTCCAACCATGAGACTCCAAAATGTCTTTGGACAAAATTCAGCATTAGAACAACTCACTGTAAACTTTTTTTTCTTTTTTCCTTTTTTCTGCTGAAGCAGAATTTTTCACACTTCAGTTTTTGTCCATTGCTTCTTATCCACCCATTGAATTCTACAGGGAAAAATCAGAATGCATGTTCATTATTCCCTGCCACCCCAGCCTGTACTTGTGGGTTGGATTATGGACATCCAGCTGCAGCCCTTGGCATTTCCCTTTGTTGAGCTTTATGGGATTCCTCCCCTCCTATTTATGCATTCCTTCTCCAGCATTTATTCAAATGTGCAGAAGTTCCTTAAGACTTACAAGAACAATACATATTGCCTAGCTCAGTACATGTTTAACTTAAGGAGAAGCTACTGCAGAAAATTATTCTTCACAACTCTAACCTTATGTATATGAATTTCATTCAGGCAAAAGTATCACTCCTAGTGAACTACAGTTCAAAAAACCTAAACTACCTATGAAGGGATATATTTAGATCTCAAAACAAATAACCCCAGATACTATTCTAAAAAATTACAAAAAAGCAGAGGTGGTGTTTTCTGTTCAACCAGATACATGTACTGCCAGACAGGAGAAAGAGGAAAGTTTGATGTCATGAATTTATTTTTTTTTTTGTATTTTAATTTACTGAGTCAAGGAAAAGTGCACTGTAATGGAACTTAATGCAGTTTCAGTGTTCTGCTGGTTATAACCCATGGTGTCAGCAGCTACATACTTGCCATATTAATTCAAACTTTTTTTAAAAAAAAAAAAAATAAATATTTTTCCTGCTCAGAATGTGCTTTTTTACTGCTTTATAAGCAGTATAAGGTAGGCACATTCAGTATAAATTCAATAGATTCTGTTGTTCTTTCCACTGGAGAATTTTACAGGTGAGTAGAACCGAGTGGAATATTTAGTTTTATTTAAGGATCAAATTTTAATGAAATTATTTAATATATAATATTTCTATTATATAATATATGTAATAATGCAGTCTAACAATAGTCATCTATAATATCTATATATCTATATATCTATATATCTATATACCTATAAATATCTATACTAATACATATATTCTGTATATAATACATAAATTGAAAATGACATTGAAGACAGAAATATTTTCATCACATGGAGCAGGAAGGCAATGAACATATCAGTGGGTTCTTTTTACAATACTGACAGTCCAGTTTCTCCTCGGACAGTTTGGGGGAATATTTAGCTGAGGATGTTATTATCTTCTTATAATAAATATTTTAATAAGCATTCCATACATTTCTTTTAATAACCAAGAACATATTTATCTAATATCTTTGATCTGAAAGTAGCTGTAAACTTTGAAATAGCAAGAAAATGCTGGTAATTAGGGCAGCCATCTCTCCTCCTAAAAAGTGGCCAGGGAATGTTATCTGGCTTATGAGGACAGTCAAAAAGCCTTGGAAAACTCTACTCATAGCTGAACTGAAATCTGCTTTGCTTCTCTGAAAATGGTTAGGATTAGAAGAGAAAAAAGCAGACTGCTTACAAAGACATTTCCTGAGGTGAAAAACCTAAGCAATAAAAGACTCCTGTTATTGATTTACAAATCCTACTTCTTCCACATATATTTCTTCCATGATAGGAGGATTATTTACAGACACAGGCAGTTCTAAAGTCTGAAAATATTGAATTTATTTATTCAAAACCTTGTACCAAAAATCTTTGGTGTCATAAAGGGAGATATTCATGAATAAGGGAAAAACAGTCATAGGGATATATTTTTTAATGCCTAATTAAGTTCATAGTACAAGGATATAGCTATTTGCTAAAAATAACCATTAAGGAAAGCTCAGAGAAATAATTGTTAGCCTTCTTAAACAGAGTTGGAATGATGTCTTATAGACCATATACAGGGGTGGAAGAGAGAAACTGTGTGTGTTATCCCATAGAAACTGTAAGAAAAAGCTTTCATACTAAAGCAATATCTACAAAATCCCTGAAAATGGATTAAAACTATGCAAATATTAAAATGCTAGAGTAACATAAAGCAATAACTTTAATCACAAGTTTATTTACTGATTATTTATTTGTCACTTTTAGTTCAAATTAAGGGTACCAACCCACACAAATTATTTTTTAAAATAGTCTAGATTCAATTTTCATTCTAAGTCATCAATGTAGTAAACAGAATTCCTGTCCTACAAACTCTGCTTTACCACCTATGCTATTGCAAATTTTTTCTCCACATACCTTGCGTTAGTGTCTCACTGGAGAAGATTCATCCTCAGTGTGCAATCATCTGAAACCTTTAAAAAAAGGAAAGGTGTTACCAGAAATTATTAAAACCTAGTTCTTTAACATTAAGACAGTCAAAAAAGCCATAGAAAAAACCCTAAACACTGACAAAAAACCCATTTACCACTAAGACAACAAATACCTGTCAAAGCAATGTTCACTCTACATAAAATGCAGAATTTCAGCAAGGACTTTACACATTTTCAAATTCAGCATTCTAGAGATGCAAATTGATTAGAAATGCAAGAAATTGCATATTCCAAGTCATCTTTGGGGGTGAGGAGGAGCAGGGGGTGTGAAGGTAATTGCAGGTGTAGCAAAATGCTTTGTGTATTTTACCAAATGAAATAATATGCACTCAAAAGAAGAACTTTAAATGCTTGTGGAAAATTAATCTAAATCTCAGATGTCGTACACATACATGCAGAAGAAAGATCTTCTTCAAAAGACTTTATAAGCAAGACATAAAAATAAAACTGCTGTCAAATCTAACTGTTTAGCCAAGCAGAAAGATGACTTGTGCTAGATGTTTTTATGTGTAGTCATTGACCACAGATGTTGATGGTAGAAAAACAATATAATGCAGCAGTGTCTTAGAACTTTGTGACTTCAGCAAGAAACTCCCGAGCAGTGGGAAGTGTGTGGCCTACATTTGAATTTCACTGGGTTCTGCAGAGAGAGAGAGGGGGTTTTCTTTACCCTATTTCTTTTCATTTTTATTCTGGCAGTATACTTTGACTAGAGAATTTGAATAAAATGACATGCTAAACTCTAGGGAGGCCACAATTGCTTAGCTGCTGATCCCCATTAAACACCCAAATGCATTGATTATTATTAAATGTTTCATCCTAATAGCTTTTAATGAAAAGTTATTTTTAACTTTAAACTTGGCTGGAAAAGATAGAAACTCACCTTCAGAAAAGTTCAGAATAGCACATCCCCAACATAATAATGTTTTGGCCCGCTGTACACTCTCACAACAGGGAACACCACAGTAAAATTCTAAATTATGTTTACTGTCCATGCCCACATTGTTCTGCTTTTTCCTAGTCATGCATCACAGCTATTGTTTTAGGGAGAATCCTCCCACCCCTGAGATTTCATGCTGAACCAGGTTTGCAGATTGAACAACATAAATCATACAGCTCAGTCAATTTAAAACTTGCATTTCTTGATAGCATTCTTTTAAATACTATTTTCTTGCTACACTTACTTTGAAATAATTGATTATTGAATATTTGGCTTACTTCCCTCCAGCTTGAGCAGAAATCATAATACTAGAGAATATATACAATAGCTGTTTTATATTGTGCAATAGTATTCAGCCAATGCAAAATTATGAAGGAGATGAATCATCACTATAGGAGTTCTGTGATTAAAGCAGAAACTGTCACTGAAGTGATGCTGCTGAAATTACCTGTCATTCTTTGAAAGAAAGCCTAAGAAAGAGAGTGTACAAGTTACTTTTTGATGACAGAAATGGCAATACTTTGACCAGGAGAAATTCATTGTTCACGGAGCTGTTGAAAAGAAGAGGCAAGAGGAAAATACTAATGATGTTATTCAGCCAACATTCCTGTTTCAGGTCAGGCAAGGGAATATCCTAAGCTGTCTTTTTCAAGGTGCTCATAGAAAACACAGAGAAGAAAAATTTTTACAAATCTTGTTAATTTTTAAAGGAGAAAACCTTTTCAAAAATCCCATGCTCAATAAGACATGTTCAGTTGTGAAAAATGCATCTCCTGCCACAGTAGAATACACATTCCACAACTGACACTGCACACCAAACTTAGGAGAGATGCTGCCTGTCCAAAGAGAATTTAAAACAAGACAAAGAGAATACACCATCAACAAAATTTTGTGGGGTTCTTTCCTTTTTTTTTTCAATTTTAACTTCAATTTTAATTTCAATGTGTTGTAGTTACAATATCTTCAATGCTGTTCTAACACTTACAGTCATGGAACTCTTTTGAAGGTGCAGCATATCACCTAAGCAAAAATTCCATTTTCCCATTTCTGCACTTATTTGGCATATTTAGGCCCAAATGCCATGTTTCAGAGCCAGCTTTAACTCATAATCCCTTTCATTGCAAGAGAGACTAGAAGATAGGAAAACATGCAAATATATTACAATTTCTGACAATGGGGAAAAGGTCCACCAACAGTTGTAGTTTCCAGTCCTTTACAACCAAAGGTTCCTTAATTTTCTAGGCAGTTGCCCAACTGAAAATGACTATCTAAAATAGATTTGGAAGAACCAGGTTCAAGTTTAAACTGAACAGTATTTTAGAAATTTCCTGGACTTTGTTGAGACAGAAAAAATGTTTCATACACTTATTTTCAAATATAAAACAAATAAGAAAAAAAAAATCACCATGTCTTGTCTCTTTCAAATGTTGTAAACATACTTAACACTCAGTTTTAACTGCATAAGGATAGGCATTTTCAGCATGAAAATTCCTTCAATTAATTCTGAATCTTCTTTGCTATAGATCAGTTTCTGATTGCTGTGTGGTGGATGTGGAGTTGACTAAGTAGAGATGGGAAGAAAACTGGTAAATCTGTTTTTTTGAAAGCTGAGACAGAGAGAGCAATTGTTCAGTGCATCTTTTTCCCCATTCCTTCAGTGACACAGATTTAGCACAAGTGAAGTGAGAAAGCCATCCTTTTTTTCAGGGTTTCAGAACACAGAGAATCAAACACCCTTCAGTCATGCCTCAGACTTCCCTGCCGAGCTACCACCAGATTTGATGGACTCACACACCTCTGCATAGCTGGGCCACTTTTTCATGACTGGGTAAAAGTCTGAAAAGAAATATTTAGGGATGACAGAGAAATGAACTCACTTTTCACACTGTAGCAACAATCTGCTGAGTGTTTTCTTATTGAAACCCCCCATGTTTTAATAGTTTCTTTTAAATCATGCTGAGTCAATGACACTGCCAAGGGAAGGAATAATGTCTAAAAGAACAAATAATATTTGTATTCAAGGGAAAAGAAAATGCTCTGCTTCTGGTATGTTGGTGATTTGACTGCACCATAACTGGTGTTGTTCCAGATCAGAGCAGTGTGCTAGGAAATTATCAACATATACTGACTTTATTCTTCCACTTTTCCTTAGACATCCACTTCAAGACAGGATATTGGACTATGTGAAAGTCCAGTCTGATACAGCATTGTGATTTTTATGGAAATCTTGCTTTGTTTTTAATTTACAGGCAAGAAATAATTTTTCTTTTTAAATTACTTGACTGGATGAAATGGCATTTTGAAAATTTAGCCATATTTCTGTTTTATAATTACTATTGCATTAATACCTGTGACACCAATTTGCAGTTTATTTTAAATGTGCTGAGTTTTTGTTGTGGTTTAACCCCAGCTAGTAGCCCAGCCCCAGGCAGCTGCTCACTGGAACCCCAGCAGTGGAACAGGGGAGAAAATGGGAAGGGTGGAAGCCAGAAGATTCATGGGTTAAGGACAGTTTAACAGGGAAATCAAATTAATATCTATGAAGAATCATGAATATCAGTTTAATAATTAATGTTCTAGGTCAAGACATCTCTGTGGAAAAAAATCCCAAATATTAATTTATATTAATATTATTAATTATATTATAATTTCATAATCTTATTAATTGATATTGTGATGTTCAGAATTACTGCTGAACTTTTTTTGCTCCAGTGTACAGACAAGCTTGGTCTGTGTGGTTTGATTTTCCTCATCATGCTGAAGGAATTGTGAATGTTCTAGTTAGACAAGAGGTTCTAAGAACATTTACTGCTGAAGAGTTATTCTTCACATTTGCATGCAATATCTTGATATTAGCACCAATATGGACAGCAATACAATTAATTTTATATTACAAAATATGGGATGATCTCTATCAAAGGCAACATCAGAAAACTGACAGACAAATGACTTTCCATTAACTGTGCCAGATGTAGTTATACAGTTTTCCTGGGTAATATTTCAGTGAAAACTATAGTGAATAAATAGAACAGTTCATTTGGAAGGGACCAACAATGATGGTATTGTCCTAGAATCTTAAAAAAAAAACCAACCCAAACCTGGATTACATAATTCAGAGGGGGGCTGAGTATTCTGAGAACACTGAATATTCCAGGCATTCAAAATTCTTGATGTGTCGTCCAAATCTTTGCAAAGGATTCCATGTTGTTAATCAACTCTAGGTTTGAACAGCAGTTAAAATTTATTTTTAAAAACTTGTTTCAAGCATATCACAATATTAATAATAGACATGAGGTATTATAAAGCCTATATGTCATACTTGTTTTGGGATAAATACTCCGGCCCTTCTATACCTACCTGAAAACAAAGACAGCATGTAAATTCTGCTAAAACCTACTCAAGTGCCTAACAAGTGTTAAAATGCTTTATAGAGGAAAAAAATATTATTTTATATAGAAGAACTTCAGGAAATAGTTACAGTGTCATATCTTTTAAGACAAGCACTTTAACTACTTCATATTTATAATATCCAACCGAATCAAAATTGACTATACTTGCTAGCACATATAAACCTCGCTTCAGGTAATCTTAGAAATTATTTTCCTTGGCTATAAATCCTCAGATTACATGTTATTAATTAGCACACACAGAGTTAGGAGAAGAAATAGGCATTATTAGAAGCAAAGTGACCACTAGGCAAAGACAAGCAGGTTAAATAGCAAAGGGATTTCAGAAAAGAGGGAGTAAGGAAGTGAAATTTCCCTTCCATCACCTGAACATACATAAACCCCTGCTTTATTGAATACCAAAGCTTTAAAATTTAGTTTCTTTTTCTTTCTTTTCTTAAATCACAACCTGTAACTATACAAAAGCAATGCAACCACAGTAAAAATGAATGTATTTTCGAGATCATTGATTCAAAGATGCTAATAAACAGAGGTTACCTTTTCAATTTGATTTTGTGGAGCAGTATTCTCATAGTTATTGTACCCTGTACAGTTCTTAAACACTAAAATTCTAACAGAGGTATTCACAGTAATTT